TTCTGTTTCTCCTTACTAGCTGGATATTGGATTTCTAGAGTTGATCTGTAAATTTTCCTATCTTTCTCTCTCTTACTGTCCATCTCCTTTTTTTTTCTTACTTTATCAGAGAGTTTTTCTAATCCTTTTACTCAACATTTTGTTTTAGCTATTATATTTTTACTATCCAAAAGCTCTTTCTTATTGTTTGTTCCCTTTTTTGCAATCATGTTCTATTCCTTAATCTTTTCTTTTCTCTCTCTGAGGACATCATGGCTTCTTTGAAGCATTCTTCTCCTCTCAGCATTGTCTCTGTTTCCTCTAAGTTCCTTTTTTCTCTTTGTTTCTTTGTTTGCTTCACGTTGGAGGCTTCCTTCCAAAGTCTGATTCTCTTTTGATGCCCTATCCTATTTAAGAGTGAGTCACTAAAAAGCTGACTAGAAGCTTTGAAAATGGGCTTCTAATAGGGTCATAGAGTAGCTGGAAGATTTTTGTGGGAGAGGGTCACCAAATATCAGTATCTTTAGGTCTTTTCTCTAGGACGGTTCCGTTTCCTCTGAGAAGGCTCTTCCAATATTCCTGGTGGGGTGTGGAGTGGTAAGGCTGCCAGTGTGCTACAGCTGACCAGAGGAAGGGAGTTGGGAATTTCACTGTTCAGACACAGAATGTCCTTTAATCCCCAGTTTTCAATTCTATTCTCGTCCTGCCTTTCTCGGTGCTCAGTGTCCCGAAGTCCAGATGATCTCTGGTTGTTTTTCCAGAGACTCCTGCAAAGGTGGGGGGAAATAGTCTCCTTACTCAGCCAGGTGAGAGTGGGCTTTTTTTCTCAGCAGTGAGAGTCTAACTACTTTTAAATAAATTTCAACTCGCCATGTCACCCTGCTTTCTATGGTACCAGATGCCTCTAATTCCTAAACCTTTCCAGAGAGCGGTGAGTCAGTTTGCTTTTCTCCCTCTGCAGGCACTTGGCTCTGACCTGTCTCCACTCTGCTAAGTCGTGCACCATCCTTCCACCCACTTTCCATCTTTGTATCCTGTGGTTTATGGTTATTTATGTCTCCTTGATTTATCAAAGATAGAGCTTGTCCCTCCTTTTCTAGTTTTTCCTATTGTTCAGGGATGATTTTTTTTGAGAAAAGAAGAATGAATGAGGGACAGAGTAGAGATATCTTTATTCTGATTGAAACCAGGAGTCTCTAGCCTTTTCTATTTCATAGGCCATTTATCACACTATACTCTCTTCTGTCAGTTCTATTCTGGTTCATAATTTCTGTCTTCCAGACATTCTGGGTGACTAGCCATCTTGCTTTACTGGTTTCAGACATGCAACATTAAGTTTATTAATGAATTAACAAGCTACACATCTACTTACCATATTCTATTTGCAGTAATTGTTGTCTGCAGTTGAATAGGGTATACTGAACTGAATATACATTTAATTGGGAGGAGATTATTCATCAATTGGGAGACCATTAGTCCTCAATCTCTTTGGGGACTTGTTTTTCTTATCAGATAGGCTGATTATTCTGTTTGCCTTCCTGCCCCTCCATTCTCACACTTCTCCGTATCCCGGGAGACTGACCTCTATGGATGACTCCCCTTGCCCATCCCTACTCACTGCCATTCCACCCACCTCACTCTTCCCGTGCCTTGATGCACTTCTGGCAACATTACTCTACAGCCACAGCTCCTGAAGTATAATGGCTTCAGGCTTCACAAAGGAACACTTCCTGGCTGGTTCCCTTGACCCTGCCCCTACCTCTGTAAATAGTCTCTTTAGTAAACTCTCTTCAGCTATCCCTGTGTGCCATTTGTTTCCTATCAGGACACTGACTGATATATCAGTAAAAAAAAAAGATTTTTAACTAGCTCATCTCTAAAGTCCCCCAAGTTCCTATGTTCTATGATTTTTACAAAAGTTAAGTATACAGTTGGCACTTAACTAAAGACTCTCAGCATATTAGGGGCTTCCTTTCTATCAAGATTCTATCTTGATAGAATCTTTGCACCATAGCAAAGAAACTCTCCAAATAATTATGCTCAGCCCCCAGAAAATAAAAGCATTGTCAGTACAACCTAGACTAGCAGGGAAAGCTAGGATATACATATTGTTCCCTTTAGGTAATGGAGTCAGATAGTTCTGATAAAAGTACATTTGCTACTGTTTATTCAATTTTTTTAGTTGAGGTATAATTGACATACATTATATTAGTTTCAGATGTACAACATAATGATTCGATATTTGTATATATTGCAAAATGGTCACCATAATAAATCTGGTTAACATCTGTCACCATACATAGTTACAATCTTTTTTCTTGGGATGAGAACTTGTAAGATTTACTCTCTTAGCAACTTTCAAATATGCAATACAGTATTATTAACTATAGTCGCCATGCTGTACATGCATTACATCTCTGTGACATTTATTTTATAACTGGAAGTTTCTACCTTTTGACTCCCTTCACTCATTTCACCCACCCCCACCCCCACCTCTGGCAACCACCAATCTGTTCTATGTATCTATGAGCTTGGTGTTTTTTTGGTTTTTTTTTTTGAGATTCCACATATAAGTGAGATCATATGGTATTTGTCTTTCTCTGTCTGACTTATTTCACTTAGCATAATGCCCTCAAGGTCCATTCATGTTGTTGCAAATGGCAAGATTTCACTCTTTTTTATGGCTGAATGATATTCCATTGTCTGTGTGTGTGTGTGTGTGCGTGTATATATATATATATATATTCTTTTGTTGTTGTTGTTGTTGGTTTGGTGAAGAAGATTGGCCCTAAACTAACATCTATTGCCAATCTTCCTCTCCCTGCCCAAAGAAGATGGTCCCCAAGCTAAGATCTGTGCCAATCCTCCTCTACTCTGTATGTGGGACGCCGCCACAGCATGGCTTGATGAGCAGTGTGTAGGTCTGCACCCAGGATCCAAACCCGTGAACCCTGGGCCACCTCAGCGGAGTGCACAAACCCAACCAATACACCACCAGGCCAGCCCCTACACCACATTTTCTTTATCCATTCATCCGTTGATGCACACTTAGCTTGTTTCCATATCTTGACTATTGTAAACAATGCTGCAATATACATGTGGGTGCATATATCTTTTCAAGTTAGTTTTTTTGTTTTCTTCAGATTAATACCCAGAAGTGGAATTGCTGGATCATATGGTAGTTCTATTTAATTTTTTAAGGAAACTCCATACCATTTTCCATGGTGGCTGGACCATTTTACAGTCCCACCAACAATGCACAAGGGTTCCCTTTGATCCACATCCTTGCCGACGCTTATTTCTTGTCTTTTTGATAATATCCATTCTATCAGGTGTGAGGTGATATCTCATTGTGGTTTTGATTTGCATTTCCCTGATGATTAGGGATGTTGAGCATCTTTGCATGTTGGCCATCTGAATGTCTTCTTTGGGAAAATGTCTATTCAGACCCTCTGCTCATTTTTTAATTAGGTTGTGTTTTTACTATTGAGTTGTATGAGTTCTTTATGTATTTTGAATATTAACCCCTTATCAGATATATGATTTGCAAATATTTTCTCTCATTCAGTATGTTGCCTTTTCATTTTGTTGATGGTTTCCTTTGCCGTGCAAAAGCTTTTTAGTTCGATGTAGTCCCACTTGTTCATTTTTGCTTCTGTTGCCTTTGCTTTTGGTGTCAAATCCAAAAAATCATTACCAAGACCAATGTCAAGGAGTTTGCTGCCTATGTTTTCTTCTAGGAGTTTTGTGGTTTCAGGTCTTACATTCAAGCCTTTAATCCATTTTGAGTTAATTTTTGCATATGGTGTAAGATAGTGATCCAGTTTCATTCTTTTGCATGTGGCTGTCCAGTTTTCCTAGCACCATTTATTGAAGAGACTGTCCTTTCTCTGTTGTATATTCTTGGTTCCTTTGTCATAAGTTAATTGATCATATAAGCATGGGTTTATTTCTCGGATCTCTATTCTGTTCCATTGATCTATGTGTCTGTTTTTATGCCAATATATTTGCTATTTTTGACTTTGAAAACACAGAGACAGCCAGAATTAATTCCAAAGATTCAAGCATTTCTTTTTCTTTACCTTCTTTTCCCTTAGATATTCACTCCATCAAAGGTCCAGAAAAATGAAAAAAGAAAAATTTTCACCAATCCTCTCATTAAAAAAAGAAATGAATTCCTTGACCTCATCGCCACTACAGACACCAGATTATTTCTTTTTCCAGGCATAGCCAGACTTTTTATATCTACTGAACTTTTCCACTTTCTTACCTCTCATAGACCCTGCAACCCATTCCTATTTTAAACCGCTCTTGCCAAAGTTTTGTTCAACTTCTTTGATGCTAAATCCAATGGATACTTCTTAATCCTTGTCTTACTTGACCTCTCAGGCAGCATTTGACACCACTGCCACTCCTTTCACAAAATACTCTCTTCCTTGTCTTTGCTGTTCTCTCACCTTTCTGCTTTTCCTCCTAATATCTGATTACTTCACAATCTCTTCAGTTGACATCTCTTCCTCTGCCCATAGCTCATATGTTCATGCTTGTCGGAGCTCTGTCCAAATCTTCCTCATCTTTCTACCTATACTTCTCTACTAGATGTTCTCCACTTCTGTGGCTTCAAAAACCAGTTATATAGGGGCCTGCCCAGGCAGCTGCGGAGGCCCAGGGTTCGCCGGTTTGGATCCTGGGTACGTACCGACGCACTGCTTGTCAAGCCATGCTGTGGTGGTGTCCCATATAAAGTGGAGGAAGATGGGCAGGGATGTTAGCCCAGGGCCAGTCTTCCTCAGCAAAAAGAGGAGGATTGGCAGATGTTAGCTCAGGGCTGATCTTCCTCACAAAAAAAAAAAAAAAAGCAGTTATATACTAATGACTCTCGAGTGGGCCATCTCAAGTCCAGATCTCCCTCCTGACCTTCAGAGAAATTGTTTATACCTAATACTAGATAACTCCATCAGTATGCCCACAGATTCCTCATACTCAACATTTCAGCTTCCCCTCAAACTTATTTTTTCATCTACATTCCTTATTCCAATGAATCACACCATGCCAGAGACCTGAGTATAATCCTTGACTCTTTCCTGTTCCCCATCTCATACCAAATCAATGACCAAGTCCTATTGATTCTGTCTGAGATGTACCTTAAATCTATCATCCAGTTCTCTCCATTCTCACTGCCACTCCCCTAGACCAAATCATCTCCCTACTTCTAATATTGTTACCCTTAAATGGAGATGTTATAATAGAGCCAGGGTGATCTTTCTAAAATACAGATATGATCATGTTACCTTCTTCCTAGAAGCCTGCAATGGTTTTACACTACTATCAGGATAAAGCCCAAATTCCTCAACATACTTTACAAGGCCCGGCATCTGGTCTCCTACTCTGTCATCCAAATTACAATATGCTGTAGCCAAATTAAGCCCCTTTTAGTTCCTTCAATAAGCCATGATCACTCTTACTCTAGATATTTCCACATGATGTTCCCTCCACCTGATACATGCCTATCCAATGTTCCCAGTGTTATCATGCTATCAATATTTCTTGACTAACATCTACAAATCCTTATGTCTCAGCTAAGATGTCCTATGCCCTCTAAATCTGGATTAGCTCTGCTCCCATAGCACACTACTTATGCACTTATCACATTCTATTATAGTTGCCTATTTACTTGTCTCTAGTCCTCTTTTCGATCATAAGCACTGTGAGTGTTAAAACTGTACCCATTGGGGTTGGCCCAGCGGTTTAGCAGTTAAGTTCGCGCACTCCGCTTAGGCAGCCCAGGGTTCACAGGTTTGGATCCCGGGCGCGGAACAACGCACTGCTTATCAAGCCATGCTGTGGCGGCGTCCCGTATAAAGTAGAGGAAGATGGGCACGGATGTTAGCCCAGGGCCAATCTTCCTCAGCAAAAAGAGGAGGATTGGCAATAGATGTTAGCTCAGGGCTACTCTTCCTCAAAAAAAAAACCTGCACCTATTATATTTCCAATGCCTTGAACATCACCTGGCACAAAGCAGCCACTAAAGAAAGAATGGCTGAATGATGAACAAATGAATAAACAAATAAGACATCGGATTAAATGTAGTACCAGTGAAAGGACATTTTACATGTGGACTTCCTTTCCTTTGCTTTCTCTCCTCTCAAAAAATAAATAACAAGTTACCATTCTCTCCAAATAAGCCATTGCTTACAAAGAGCTAATTAATGTATAGTTCCATATGACAGCTACAGAGAATTCTGTCTGAGCTTTTGCATTCTCCTTCATTTCTCTCTTTCCTCTTACATAAAAAATTTTCAAACTGAAAGTTTAAACAGGCTTAAGAAAGACTAAGCATGTGGCTGACTTTCTCTTGATCTGCATGATGCCCAGTCTGTGTTCCCAAACCATCCCCAAACTTGGTAGAGTATGTACATGGGATAAAAAAGAACCTAGGATAACATTTTATTTGAACCAGAACTCCAAAACGTTAATTAAAGTTGAGCACACCTGCTCTGAACTGCAAAGTCAGAGATTTATGTGAACTTGTAAAGTTGAGGCTTTCTGACCTCTTGTAGGATTTATATTTCGTTTAAATAAGCATTTCTTCTTTGTAATGCAATATTGAAAAAAAAAAGTTTATTTCAGTGACTAACCTGCTGGCATAAACAGACATGCTGTTCAGTTCCTTTGTTGCCTGGTCTTTACACTTTTTACCCACTGCTTGTCAAATATTTAATTTAAGGTTTGGGGTGAAAATAAGCAGGCCCAACTATCAGGCCTAGAATTTCTTGCCCTAACCTTAACTTGTTAATGAGGTGATCTAAAAAAATATCCATGCATTCAAACTCCACACTTAATCTAAGAGCTTTTTAATACATTTGTTCACAGATCTGCTCACTGTTTGGATGGTATTTATCACAAGCAGGACTTGTTCGATTACAATGTGTGCCCACATGCACAGTCCTTTCAGATAAGACAGTTTTCAATCAAAGGAAGGCATTCTGATTTGGAGAGTCAGATGCTAATGCCTCTAGAAAGAGAGGGTTCTGTGAGGCTAACGCATTCAAGTCGGTTACCTTGGACAGGTTCATTCCCAGCACCGTGAGGGTCACCAAGCCAGCACAACAGACCAAAGCACTGGAGCTAGAGAGGCCAGAACTTGGTGGGATGTTTCCATCCACCAAGCAATTCATTCCAGTCAGGTCACTGAGACCAAAGTGTTCCTAAGAATAGAGAGGAAAACAGAACTAGTAACTTCTGTGTCGGATTCAAGGAGTAGCAAAACGTTCTTTCATTTCCCATAGAGCAAAAGTCTATCAATGGACTCATTATGCTATTTATAGAAGCGGCTTGTGCAACTGAATTTAGTTGAGCCTATACATGACATTTTATTTAGTGGCTCTTGGCTACAGGATGCAGTAATCTGAAGATTACTTTCTACTTTGTTCAACAAAAAGCTACTGATTCATTTCCTAAAATTGCCTTGAATGATCTCTTTCTTGAATATTAATTGATTTGAACAAATATGGAAAAAATATTAAACAATTATAATTCAACTTCTCAAGTGGCAAGACAAGAAATACACAATTATTAGGAAGGCAGTTTAAATCTCTATGTAGCACATCCTAACGCTCTGTGATTTGTAAAAGTCTAACACCGAGCAGTGGCTTATTTCTACAGCATGTCTTTCTTCAGAAGGTCCCCTGAAGAAAAAAGTGTTCCAAATTTCCTCAGTTCTGTTTTACTTACAGAAAAACCTAGGCACCAAAAGATTAAGAGACTTTCCCAAGATCACATCTAGGGAGTTGGACGTAGGATCCAGGTCTCTGATTTCTGGTTCTGAACTTCTCCACTGCAGTCAGAAACCTGGGCCAGCAACCTGTCACTGTGATTTAATGTAAGTCTGCTATCTGAGGAAATCCAGATTTTTACTAGAGTTTATAGATACAATTTAACCATATGGTAGCTTTCAAGACAGCCAAATTAGAATTCACCCACAAATGGGATTGCAGACTCTAAACAAAGCAGGGAGACTCCATTTCTACAAATAAGAAAGCCCAAAGAAATAATCAGACTCCAATCTAAGGATGGAAAGCTCTAGGATACTTAGATGAATATCTAAGGTGAGGACACTTAGGATGATATCATATCATAACCTTTGTGGTTTAGCATTAAAAATAAATTCAAGGCCACCTCTTCCTCAAGAAAAAGTACCACCATGTTTGCAAATTACTCAAACAGCTCAAGACCAAAGTACGAAATACTATTATATTACATAACTATGCATTTCATCATATGTATTATTCCAGGGAGAAATTTCAATAAACTAGTCAGAATAACGAAAGTAAAAACTCTGCAAATAAAAGACTGCTTTTTTTCCTTAATTTTTTTGTCCTTTTTTTCCTGAGTTGGCAAAACTCAGGCACCACAAAAGAAGAGATTCAGTTGGATGAACTTCTCTTCTTGATTTCAAATCATCTAAAAATTTCCTTTCCAGAAATACAAACAAATTATAAACTGAAACACTGCTGCTGCCAATGCCCTTTCATACAGAACATCACACAGCTTGTTTAAAAAAAAATACTTGGAGAACGCTATATATTTAACCATAAACTGATCCACAGGGTGTCTTGAATGTGAATCATACTTACAAACTTATCACGCAATGTTTAAATTAAAATGTACAACAGATTCAAGAACGCAAATGGGTTTTGCCAAATTCTGTAATAGCTGTATCCCAAAAGGATAACATGTTCAATTTAATATAAACAGATTATTCTCTGGAACTTTCTAGTATTTGAATTTGAAGGTTTCTGAACAGGCTAACATTTAAGTTACTTTTCTGCCAAAAATTCATTGTACAAAACTGCTTTTGCAGATAAGTTGTCAAACCAAAAAAGAAAGGCTTTAAGACCTGAAATTCTCAAAAACAACACAAAGTAACATGCATTATTTAGGTCACTTGACCCATATGCTACAAAAAGGCATGCTGTTATAAGGAAGATCAAATTGCATTTGCCAAGCAAATGCTTCCAAATACCGTAATTCCCACTAATGCATTTGATAAGGCAAATGATTTGAACATTTAAAACCTGCCAATAGCTTTTCCCATAAGTTATTACCATGTGTCTAGGGGGGCGGGGGAAAGAAAGAAAAAAGTGAATGCGGGAATTCTAAGACCAGAACTACCATAGTTAGAGTACAGGACTACACATCAGAAATAAATGTGATGCACTTCTGTAATGGATATGCCACTGAGTCCTAGGCTACTCATGACAAAGTTTCAGATAGGCTCGCCAGCCAGTAAGGAATACAAGCTCTCTAAAACATGGATTTTAACAAATCAAACTGATTTAGCAAATCAATTTTTTTTGTCCTTCATATTTTTTTAATTAGGGGAGAAAGTGGGAATATTTCATTTTCTTGTTCTTGTACATGACAATAGAGACGTTCAAGGTAATTATTCAATGTTTCTAGGAAAATACTTATTCTAATAAATTTCACTACATCCTTTTTTTAACTCCATCTGAGGAAGTAATAGCAATACCAGTTACCATTTATTGAATACCTACTATGTGTCAAGCACTGTGTAATCTTTGCAACAACTCTTTGTCGGGATAGCATGACATCATTTTCCAGAACACAAATCTGAGACTTAAGAGGTTAAATTAACACAGCTGGGTAGAGCCCAGATTCAAACCCAGGGCTGTCCTACTCTAAATCCTATTACCGTATACACCTATATATCCCTAGAACAAAAAGCAAATTATATTACTAGAATGTATCCTTCAAAAGAAAATTTTAACAAAGAGTTAAAAACCAGAAAGAAGTTTATCAGATGCATCTGATTTATGAACAGCCGCTACTGCCCCCTGTGAACACTACCATATGAACAATCATTTCTACCCCATCCCCTGAAAGACACAAATTAGCAAAATAGAACAGAAACATCAGTTAGTATTGAAAGGAGACAAAAATGACATAGTAAATAAAATAAAGCTTGATGTAATACACATCATAATCTCAACTGCTTGTAGATGCATTATAAACTGATTTACCTGAATTCCTTTAAATCCACATAGGAAATAGTTGTGCCACAGAGGCTTGCTTTTGTCAATCTGAATGTTATTAGCACTAGTACTAAAGTCCCTGCAAAAACAAAAGACACCATTAATTTAAGCCTACAGGCCTGTGCTGCAAAATCGATGGCTGGCTGCTGCCATCTTGTGCCAAGACAGTGATACTGAAATTTCATTTTTCAGTTACTTTCAATATATGTGCTTCACAGTCTTCCCAAAAACAACAAACATCTCCAGCTGCTAAAAGTTAAGAGAAGAAGTTATAGTGACCTTAATAACTACACTACTTCCCAGTGACCCTTTTTACTTCCTGAAACAGAGAGGAGCCAATATATTTTAGCATAATCTACACCACTTTTTATTTCATGATGGTCTTTGTTAAGCTGGTGTAAACCACATAAATGCTTATCCTTTGGGCCTGCTGTTGGACACACTTCTAACCGGAACAGAAGTACTCAAAGCTTTCTTTCCCCACACTCTCTGCCACCCATCTGATTTCACCATCTGCACAGTTTAAGAAAAAGAAGGAAGAAACAAAACAAATAATGATTCTAATGGATCATAACTCATTGAATAAGATTCCATGAATCCACACTGATACAAATTAATAAATGAATAAATAGATAAATGAAGGAGAAGGGAAAGCTCTTCCTTAGAGTAAAATGCCAGCTAATAGATGTGGAAAAAATGATGAAAATCAAAAAATCGCTATTTGGCAAACTCCATGATAATTGTTTCAGGAAAGAATCATCAAGGAATGCTAAAGTTAGTGAATAAAAATTTGATGAGAAACAAGATATTTACATGGACTCAAAGTATTTCCCCACCAGATACTTATTGCAAAGGGAAACAATAGTAACTTCATGGTTAAGAAATCTGGCAGACACCACCTTAACCAAGCAATGAAAATTAACATTACCAGTAAAGGGACATCACATGCCTCCTTGATACGATGCCCTGAAGACACATCAGTTGATATATGGGAATTCTTTGTACTATTTTTGTGACTTCTTTTGTAAGTCAGAAATTATTTCAAAATAAAAACTAGATAGGCTTCTAGATCAGCCAAAGGACAAAATATATAAAAAGCGGGGGGGCAGGGGGGGCGGGGCGGGGATCAATTAAAGAGTAAGGAAATA